AGGATCCCTACAGGCGATTTGGCCAAATTGGATGTCAAGGCAGCAGTATTAGCTAAACTCTTGAATATAAAAAATTACATTTTCAATGACAATTGTCTCCTGATCTGTTGGCCTTACAGTACCTCAAATTCCTCTGAAGGCACTACGTGAATATTTTAAAACAATGCCATCTCTCCTCGTCTGCCAGACATCCTCACCCATGAAGCATCTTCTCTCAGCGTGTACCAGCCTCTCTTCCTCCATTGGTTCTTTCTCCTCAGGAATCAAACATGCTCAAGTTACTCCTGCCCGTTCAGGAGGTGAAAACCCCTCCTCTCTCCTCCGCTGCTTCCCAAGTTTCCCACAGGTCTGTGTGTTCTCCTTCTTTCTCCCTCCATCCAGTCTCCCAGCCCCTCCAATCCCCACCCTTCTGGAACCAATCTGGCAAAAGTCACCAATCCTCATGGCTAAACCACGGGGGCTGGTTTACACTTGCTGGGCCAGCCTGCTGCGCTGGTTATCACTGGTCTCATGGTCCTCTGAACCCACCCTCTCACCCGTTCCCTCCCCCTCACTCCCCATAGCCAGCTGCGGGGCCTCCACCTCCTCCCCCTCCCTAGAAATGTCACTGCTTCCAAGACTCTTTGTTCAGCCTTCTCTCCTCTCAAATGCCCATAGACCATTTGGAATATCCAAAGAGAACTGAGGACCCTCTTCCCAGAAAAGTACACTCAAGCAAATGTTTGCATAAATTCTGAGGAATTCATCAACTTCCTCAGGTTCATCCTTTGGCCTTTAGGGAATCAAGAACATCTTGTCTCTACGTGCACCAGCCCTAATTCCTCTCTTAGTCTCTAGATGTGCATACCCTACAGTTTACTGGACAGTGTCTCCCAGTTACCCCACGGGCACCTAAATTTATAATGTCCAAGGTTGAAGCCATCAGCCTCCCCACAAAATCTGCTTTTCTTCTAGGATCTTTTCTTGTATTGGTAGCATTACCTACTTGTCATCCAAGACCAACACCTGAGAATTGTTCTCCATTTCTCCTTTTCCCTCGGCCTTGACAATTGGTGGGTCCCCAACTCTTATCCACCTTGGCTCCTCAACATCTCTCAGTCTGACCCCCTTTTCCCATTTCCACTCCACTGCGTAGGCCTACACACATCATCACTCACTGGATTAGTGCTCATTTTTATCTCTTAATTAACCACCCACACTGCCAATAGAGCAGTCATCCCAGCATACAGAGATTTGTTACCAGTAGAATAATAGATGAGTAGATATCGGGTGGCAAGAACAAAAGCAGAAATACATTACAGAAAGATTTTTGGCAGAGAGTTTGACTTTGTTGTTAGATTTGTAATTAAAGACAAACCATCAAACAAGCCCACACTGTTGCGGCAATGGGGAGAGTGGGGGTGGGGACATACTGCAAATAGGAAGCACAGTAAGAGGCCACTGAAGTGACAAACTGAGAAGGCAGGATAAGTAGAACAGAGACAAGTGATCCTTAGAGGTAGAACTAATAGAACACAGACACCTACTCGTGGAGGCTGAAAGGAGTAGGGTCAGTCAAGGGGAGGAGAGATGAATTCTGTTTAGGTAAAATGGAGTTTGAGAGGCTCAAGGAAACTGCCTGTGGGAAGATCCAGAATTGGTGGTATAAACTGGGTCTGGGGCTCAGGAGAGTAACATGAGCTGGAGATACAGATTTAGGTCATGAGGACACAAAGTTAAAGATGTACGTGGGCTCTCCCAGGCAGCGAGTACGGAGAACAGAGAAAAGGGCTGACTCATGGTGAGGACCAGCACCCAAGCAGAGGAAAAGAGTCAGAGGAGAGGAGAGGCTGGAGTGACAGGAAATCAAGGGGAATGAAGTCGCGGAAGTCAGGGAAGGGAGGGCTGCAGAGGGGGTCAGGGTCAGCAGGGCCAGATGCTGCCAAGAGGTCAAGCAAGATATACTGAAAATGGGGCCACGGGATGTATTCACAAGGAGGTCACCTTACTCTTGGGAAAAGCACTTCCAATGAGGTGAAAGGTGAACTGAAGAGTGAGTGGAAAATGAGGTTTCTTTTCTTAGAAGTTGAATTCTGAAGAGAAGAGAAACACAGCAAAGACTGGTGAGGGAAGTTGGGGGCATTGTGTTCAAGACAGGAGGCTGGGCACATCTGAACCTTCTCCCTTGTACAGCTGGGAAGTGCTAGAGGTTGGACAGCCCGCCTCTAACTTATCTTCAGAAGCATCTCCTTCATCTCCCTTTATTCTTATAGGGGAAAAAAAAAAACTAAAGCAGAAAAAAATGTTTAGAAGTCATTCTAATCCAACGCTTTGTTTCTACAGATGAGAAAACTGGGTCCAGAGTGATTAAACAACTTGTTCAAGGTTTTGTAGCAAATCAGCTGTAGAACCCAGGACTTCTGACTTCTGGGTCAGACATTCTCTCTTCTCCCTGTGTGTCCAAGACCCCCTTGGACAGGACTCCACATGACCTGCCCCAACCTATCCAACTATGCCTTTGGCTTGGATGGCTATTTTCTAGCTGAATTCTTCCAGATGCTTATATTCTGCATTCTGACCCCTCAAGGTCCTGTTCACTACAAAATTCATGAATTTTGCATCAGGGGATCCCAGGGTCTGCTGCATTGTAACGGCAATTTCCATGGTTTCACCATTAACCTGACAGCAGTTTCTAAGGGCTGGGTAAAACAGACATTTAGGGGAAAGTAAGAAAAATGGCAACCCACTCCAATATTCTTGCCTAAAGAATCCCGTGGACAGAGGAGCCTGGTGGACTGCTGTCCATAGGGTCGCACAGAGTTGGACACAACTTAGCGTGCATGCATGCATGCATTGGAGAAGGAAATGGCAACCCACTCCAGTATTCTTGCCTGGAGAATCCCAGGGACAGAGAAGCCTGATGGGCTGCCATCTATGGGGTTGCACAGAGTCAGACATGACTGAAGCAACTTAGCAGCAAGACATTTTAGTCCTTCCTAATCCTGCTGGGAAGGGAGTGTGTGTGTGTGTGTGTGTGTGTGTGTGTGTGTGTGTGTGTGCGTGTCTGCATGTGCACACACAAGCATTGTGTACTGTATTTGAAAAGAACAAGAGTGTGTATTTTGTCATTCAGAGAGCTTGCCTACCTGTGGCAGTCTCAAGCACTTGCCACACCAGGTTTCAAAGCAGATGGGTATTTACTGGCGCAAATGTTACATTGACTTTGGAATGTTCTAACATGAGTTCTGGTAGATTAATGAGCTCCTAATATTGTGAATAATCATTTTCCATAAATATGCATAGTCAGCTTTTAAAAGTGTCATATGGGATAATCATTATTTGTCTGGGTGCTAATCGCTTGGGGAAAATATTTACTTGCATGTGAAACGGAACCTGTGTTTGTTTTGTTAAGTGCACTGCCTAGCAGCAAGCTCAGAGCAATTACCAGCCTGATTTAAGCGTACTTGGGTGCCAGGGAGCCAGGAATGAGAGATGGGTCTCTGCCAGTTATCTGAAGCCTTATCTAGCTTCAACACTTCATTCATGAGGACTCGTAAAGTGTTTGGCTAGATATCATTTAATAAAAATATGCTGAGAACTTGCTATATGTAAGGTCTTTTAGGAAGACCAACTTTGAAGCTAGAAAGTGAGCTTAAATACTAAAACTTCGTGACTTTGGGTCAGTTATTCAACTTCTCTGTACCTCAGTTTGCTCACCTGGAGAAAGGGGTAATATTTACCTCCTAAAGTTGTTAGGAAGGATTGAATAACATACATAAAGCATCTAACACAAAGTCTAACATATGTCAGACCTTTAGCAAATGTTAGGTCTTTCTTTCTTCTCACAACACACACCATGGAAGACACGAGGTTAAGGAACACACAGCCCCCACCCTCCTGGACCTTTCCAAGCCCAATGCCTTTAGGACTGAATCCAAAGAGAGCTTGATGAAAGAGTCTCTACTGATTGGTAGAGGATATCATTCCTTAGAGGAAAGTCAACGATGGGTTCCAGTCTCCCAGGGGGCCTAGCATTGTACACAGACAGAGGGCGTGGCATGACCTGGGTAGGCGTAGGCATCCACATTACCCTCCCTCACTGATGCCTGAAAATTTTCCCTTTATATACTCATTTCTGTGAGATGGTACACTCTCCTTGCATACCTCCCATGGGTGAGACAGTAAGATCCCAACACTTCAAGGAAAATCAGTGCCTTCTGGTTATAGGGCAAAAGATAAAGGGGGCTGGGATTCATGAAAGGGAGCTTTAGAAGGCACTAAAGAAAGGAGGTGAGGGGAAGAAAGACCATCTCTCTATGTTGGCTGGCCCTAGTTTTCCTTTTCTTCCTACCTGAACTAGAGTGAGAAGTCTCTGTCCTACAGACCACAGCAAACCCACCCTCTTCCTGCCTTGCTAACAATGGGGCTTAACAAACAGGCAAAAATAACACATGTTAACACTCATCCTTTGGAAGTCTATTATGACCGATAGCTTGTGCTCAGCCATGCTCAGGAAATGGAATAAGTAAGACTGCATGGAGTAGGCTTACCTGACCCAAGAAAATGAAGTACTTTGAAAAACATTAAGAGCCTTCATTTACCTGTAAAAAAAAAAATGCATAGTTGCTCATTCCAAATTATTCTGGATTTTAGAAGTTTACTTTATGGAAAACCCCCAAAGAATCTGGACACTTAATTACTTGAACTAATGTGTACTTGAAAATAGTCTTACCGTATTTTCTTCCAACTTGCTTTCTAATTTAAAATTTCCCCTTGTCCAGACCATTTTCTCCACTTGCCACGAACCCTAGCCCCAAGAGATGAGAATTCCAGATAGAAAGCAGAGGTGTGACCCCAACAATCAAATCCCTTGGCCTCCATTTTCTCTCCTTTAAAACAAGAGGTTTGGTGCATTACTCAGGCTCTTTTGGTTACAAGACCCCCTGAGTTACCTCGAAAATGTTTTACTTCTGATTGAAGATGGCAGCCTGAGCAAATATATTCATTTTTCTGCCCTTTAGGAATTTCGCTGAAATTAAAGTACAAAACAATAAAAAGAAACAAACCATAACAGTGAAGAAACTGGTAGAGAGTTACAGACCAAATGACAAATGAATGAGATAGATTTCTAGAAGACAGAAGGTAGATGGAAGCTTGTTGCTGGGACACCTCTCCATATTTCACATCCACATCCATTTACCTCCTGGGTGTGGATGCCCAGCAAATATCTCTATGCTAAAAAATGTACGGGCTCAGTTGATAAAGAAATGCAAATCAAGACCACAATGAGGTATCATCGCACAAGAGTCAGAATGGCTATCATCAAAAAGCCTACAAATAATAAATTCTGGAGAAACTGTAAAGAAAAGGGGAACCTTCTTATGTTGTTAATAGGAACATAAATTGGTATAGCTACTATGGAAAACAGTATATAGTTTCATTAAAAAACTAAAAATATACTACCATATGATCCTGCAACCTCATTCCTAGGCATATATCCAAAACAGATGAAAACTCTATTTTGAAAAGGTACATGTACTCCAATGTTAGTAACAGCACTATTTATAAAAGCAAAGACACAGAAATAACCTAAATGCTCATCAACAGACAGTTGGTTTAAGAGGGTGTAGTATATATATATACATATATATATATATATATATAGAGAGAGAGAGAGAGAGAAGAATATTATTTGGCCATAAATTTAGAAAATGAAATTTTGTCATTTGTATGTCCATTTGGAGAGCTTCTCTGGTGGCTCAGATGGTAAAAAAAATACCTGCGATGAGGGAGGTCTGGGTTTGAACCCTGGGTCAGGAAGCTCCCCTGGAAAAAGGAATGGCTATGCACTCCAGTATTCTTGCCTGGAGAATCCCATGGACAGAGAAGCCTGGCAGGCTATGGGCCATAGAGTCACAAAGAGTCAGACACAACTGAAGCAACTAAAAATAAAAATATATGAAAATATCACTTATATTTAGAATCTTTTTTAAAAAGATACAAATGAACGTATTTACAAAACAGAAACAGTCACCCAGACAGAGAAAGCAAATTTATGGTTGCCAAAGGAGTAAGGGGTGGGGTGTAATTAGACATATTTAACAAATTAGCAGGTACAAACTACTACACATATAAGAGATAAACAACAAGGGTTTACTGTATAGCACAGGGAATGATATTAAATTTCTTTAATAACATAAAATAATCTGAATATATATATTAAAAACTGAATCACTTTGCTGTACACCTAAAAATAACTCAATATTGTAAATCGACTGTACTTCAAATTTTTTTTTTAATGTAGCAGCTCTTTTCTATGGGAATTGAATGAACTAGTAGGAAGCAACCAAGGTTCCAGGCAGGCCTGTGGGGACCATAGAGTAAGATCATTCTGCCACCATATATGTGTCTGTGTGGTATTGAGGATTGGGTGCCCTGATTGATGTGCTCCAGCTCATGCCTTTTAAATTAAAATGTGTTAGCCAAGCAGCCACACTGAGGAGCTTCAAGTCACATGTCTCTTTCAAGGGAGATGTTTTGAGGAGAAGAGGAAGAGGCTTGCTCCCAGGAAAAGATACTCAGACCAGGCTTCCTTCCATATAGACAACTTCCACGGTCACCCAGCCCATGGGAACAGTCACCAGTGCAGAGGAAGAGACAAGCAGAAGCAGTGACTTCCCAGGAAAACTGCAAAGATTCAGAAGATTCTTAACTTTTTCAAGTTAAAAAGTCATGACAGAGATTTCAGAGCACATGTTATCAATTTAAAAAGAACAGAGTGCTATGAAAAAGGAGGGTTTTTTTTAATCGTAAAGAAACAAGTTCTTAGAAATGTAAATTGTATCATTTCTTTTTAAAAAATAGAAAGACACACAAAAATAAAGTTAAGGAAATTTCTCAGAGTATAGACTGCCCCTAACCGACCTAGAGAAAGAGAAAATATGAGTGAAATGGTAAGGAACTTAGAGCACTAATCCAGGAGAGACAACATTTGATTAGTAGGTTCCCAGAAAGACAGAACGGAGAATATGGAGGAGAAGAAATTATCAGAGACATAATACAAGACAATTTCCAGAGCTGAAGCGGAAGACTGGTTTTCAGACCACAGGCTCCACACAATGAATGAAAAGAATCCTACCTAGATACACCTCCTTGGAATTCCAGAACACCAAAGACAAGAGAAGATCCTGAAAGCTGACAAAAAAGGACAAATGAAGGAAGAAAGCTCAAGCCCCTCTGTGCACTGAGAGACAATAAAGCAATGCTGCAAATTCTGAAAGAAAACCAGTCAGAACCTGAAGCTCTGTACACAAACATCTACCACTCCTTAGTTAGCAATAGGACAAAGACATTTTCAGCCAAGTAAGGACTGAGAAAGCCTACAACCCAAATATTCTCTCTAAAGAGCTTACGTGAAAAAGAATAGCTGTAACTTGAAGACATATCCAACAGAAGAGTGAAACAAAACTAGAGAGACAAAAAGGTAGGATCCAGGAAAGACTGACTGCAACTCCCTAGATGATGGCTGAATATCAGCCAAGAGGACAAGTCTCAAAGCAGGGGATGGTCCTGGGAGGGGAAACTGGGAAGTGGATTTTTTTTAATCGTAAAGAAACAAGTTCTTAGAAATGTAAATTGTATCATTTCTTTTTAAAAAATAGAAAGACACACAAAAATAAAGTTAAGGAAATTTCTCAGAGTATAGACTGCCCCTAACCGACCTAGAGAAAGAGAAAATATGAGTGAAATGGTAAGGAACTTAGAGCACTAATCCAGGAGAGACAACATTTGATTAGTAGGTTCCCAGAAAGACAGAACGGAGAATATGGAGGAGAAGAAATTATCAGAGACATAATACAAGACAATTTCCAGAGCTGAAGCAGAAGACTGGTTTTCAGACCACAGGCTCCACACAATGAATGAAAAGAATCCTACCTAGATACACCTCCTTGGAATTCCAGAACACCAAAGACAAGAGAAGATCCTGAAAGCTGACAAAAAAGGACAAATGAAGGAAGAAAGCTCAAGCCCCTCTGTGCACTGAGAGACAATAGAGCAATGCTGCAAATTCTGAAAGAAAACCAGTCAGAACCTGAAGCTCTGTACACAAACATCTACCACTCCTTAGTTAGCAATAGGACAAAGACATTTTCAGCCAAGTAAGGACTGAGAAAGCCTACCTCCCAAATATTATTTCTAAAGAGCTTACGTGAAAAAGAATAGCTGTAACTTGAAGACGTATCCAAAAGAAGAGTGAAACAAAACTAGAGAGACAAAAAGGTAGGATCCAGGAAAGACTGACTGCAACTCCCTAGATGATGGCTGAATATCAGCCAAGAGGACAAGTCTCAAAGCAGGGGATGGTCCTGGGAGGGGAAACTGGGAAGTGGAGTTGACGACTAGATTGCAATAGATTATGGAACTAAGAATATTTTTGAAAAGTTGAGACTATGATAAAGCTATATTTTACAAGAAAAATTAAAGATAGCAATTAGAAACTTCAAGGGATCAAAGGGGAGCTGTACACGAGAGTAATGCTCCAAATGAGAAGTAAGCTAACCTGTAGCAGAGTTTTCATACATTGCTGGAGAATCCATGTGAGCTCAATGCCAACCAGGAGAGATATAATCCTTGTCCTTGTTTGGCCCAGCAGAGTCCATCATAAAGTTGGAAAAGCTGTTTCTCACTTCAGTGCCAGCTTTCAGTTACGTGAAAGACTCAGTTGGATCTGCAGGGCAGGATGGAAATGTAAACACCCTTGATTCTGTGTTATTCGGGACAGTCTAATCGTGTCATTAAACAACCTTTAAATCTCAGCGACTTACCACCATAAATGTTGATTTCTTGCTCATGTCACAGTGAATGAGGTGAATGGTAATAAAGAATTAGAGGTGACTTTCTGCTCTATGAAGTGACCCAAGGGTCCAGGGTACTTCCATCTAATAACAATACTTTCATTTTAAAGCCTCCAAGTCCTGCACCAAATTGTCCACACCATCCTGCAGACTAGAAAAGAGAATGTGTGGAGGCCCACACATAAATTTTCAGAGGCCAGACTCAGAAGTGTCATACACACGCCGTTGGTCAGACTCAGACATGGCTTCAGCAAACTGCAGGGAGGCTGGAAAACGCAAAGTAGTTGTAAATCCAGGAGGAAAAAGAAGTGGGGTTTGGTGTCACTTTGCCATGTGATGCAAAAAGTACAAATGCCTGGGAAAGAGAATTGGAGGGAAGAGTAGAGGTCTAATTCCAGATCTTACAAAGTTAATAGTCAAGACTCTGATGAACATCAGAGAAACAAGAAACAGGTATTTAACTATATTATTTAAAGTTATGACAAGTGCTAACACTAGAACCAAGAGCAGTCCTGTAACTTCAGATATCTGTCAACAAAGGGTCTTGTTCTGGGTTACAGTGAACCCTCCAGAAAGATATGTTGATATCTTAACCCCTGGTATCTGTGAATATGACCTCATTTGGAAGTAGGGTTTTTGCACATATAAAGTTAATATGAGATATAGAGTAGGACTCAGTTCAACATGACTGGTGTGTGCTTATAAGAGGAGAAAACAGAGACATATGGGAAAATGATGGCCACGTGACAATGGGGGCAGACATTGGAGTGCTGGGTCTAAAAGCCAGAGGATGCCAGGGATTGCCAGCCCACACCAAAAAAGGATTTTCCCCTACAGATTTTAGAGGGAGAATGGCCCTGCTGACACCTTGATTTCGAACTGCTGGCCTACAGAACTGGGAGACAACATGTTTCTGTTGTGTTAAGCTGCCCAGTTTGTGCAACTTTCTCAAGACAGCTTCAGGATGCCACTCCAGGCCCATTCTCACCTCCCAGAGTAGAAGTGAGTTGGTAGGAATGGAGTCCAGGAAAGCTCCTGGACCAGGTGGAACAGGATGGGGTCTTGGTTGGAGTCTGTAGAAGACATTTAATGGGGAAGAGGGAGCTAGCCAAGGAGAGATTTGAACTTGATTTTGCCCAGAGCGTAGAATCACCAGGAGGCTCTTCCCCAGACAGGCCTGTATCTACCACAGCCCATATCTCATCTGCCTGTTTCCATATGACCTGGGGAGCTCCCTCACCTTAAAGGGGGTCTTGACATTAAAGACTTAAAAAGACAAAAGTTGACTCTTCTTCTCTGGCATTCAACAGTCAGAATTACTAACTTCTAGAAAATAGAGGAGCCCCAGGGAAATCTAATAACAGCCCTACTTAAGAGCACACGACAATTATTACCTCCAACTGTGAGGGAGGCTGAGTAATTAAAAAGGGTTCTTTATTTTG